CGAACAATTCAATTTTTTTATTGATTACTTTTTCTTAGAGTTAATCAGAAGTTCCCTATATCGTAAGAAAAAATGAATTTAGTCGTTGACTGTAAGGCTGTCCAAAATAGTCACAATATTTACAAATAACATCATTGTACATATTTTCTTCGATGAGGTTCTGTGGTAGTAATAAAATGGGCTCCTATAATGCATCATGTTGTTTTTACTTTGAAACAGTTTCATAGTGCTTCAAATAAAATCAATTGCAATTGAATCAAAGAGTTTATTGCATGAAACCGAACACTAAGTGTATATGTTGTATGCATAACATTAAGCACGAAAAACAATATTCTCTTTTAGAGGCATCATTTCATGTATAGTGTTGATATTCATATTTTGTTCATCAATCAACGATTAGTTTTCAAAAAAAACCTGTTCAACAGAAACATTAGTAGGGTTCAAAGTATCAAACACAGCACTCTACAACAAAAGATTTGATTATACGAAGTATCAATAAAAATAAATATTGCTTATTCATCTAGTATCAACTAAATCTTTCGATACGACAATTGAGCGAAATTTCAAGACCTAAATTTTTTCACGAAGCATATAATTTCGTTTAATATTTTTTGTGGAACAGTTATGAGATTCTTGTGTAAGATCAAAAAGTAAATATGAATACTTTTTTACATGCAGAACAAATCATGTCTGATTAGTACGAAGAATGTGTACCATAAGATATATGCATTATTTCACCTTCTAATTTACTATTACTACAAGCATAAGTAACTTTATTGATATTAACCATGTTGTTGGCATTATCATACTTGTGAGCAATTCATTATATCTGATGAGATGTCACGCTGTTTTATATTGAAAAAAGTATGATATAAAGAAGAATAATGTGAGTAGACTTTTCGATGAAATGTATCGGGAATACTCTTCTACTATAATTGAATAAAATGAAGAATTATTAATATGATTAACAGTGTTCCGTTTTATACTTTTCCCTACTAATTAGATAAATTCATCTTGATTACACACTCAAATTATGATATCTATATTTTAACAGTTCATTGTATCATGATAATTGTGTCTAATCTGGAATGACATTTCTTTTAATTGATAAAGATGAAACTCTCCTTGGCGAAAACAATCATTGAATGTTTTATTATGTCCTCATGTGTAGATTCATCAGTTAAATAAGATTGCCTATATTATAAATAAAAGAAGAAAAAAACGTTAAAAAAATGATGAAAAATAATCATTTTGACTTGTTTGTATCGCTTTTTACTATTAATGAATCTATCTATGCACAATAATTCTTTTTAAAGTACACATTAAGCATAATATGCACTAGATTTGGTTTCGCTTTTGACATAACGTGTGCGGATGTCATGTCAGATCTATTATAGGTCAAAAAGTGTCACTTTCAGACTAATTATATTCTCGCTGTGTTTCATGTTCCTAAACACAAAAAGAAAGAAAAATAAAGGTCTGCTGAATATATCAGTTTTGTTATTTATAAAAAACAATGCAAAGTTGTATATGATGAATTTCCATTATTCTGGAAAATGAAACATGACTTATAAACAACTTTGCTATGCTTCTCGGCTTCAGTAATAAATTTTTTTGACTTCTTTGTTTTTCAATCTTTGGTGTCACTTGAAATGTATATACTTATCGTTGTAGGCGAACTTTTCTGATGAAAGATCTATCGTATTCTAAACAGAATTTTCTTTAATATTATCGATCGATTAACTGCTCGATCAAGGAAATAACTTAATGATAAATTTTTTTCCATGCAACTACTAATTTAGCAAGATATTCTCTAACACATTATAGATGATAGTTACTTTCAATAGAAATACATCAATAGAAACAAAAGTTTTATTAAAAATCTTATGTATAATTCCTTTTGAGATTAATAGCAAAAAATCACACGAGAAAAGTAACATTATAACTAACTGATGAACAACAATCTTTCATCATAAATGCCATCGACTAGTCTCGATTCTTCAATTAGACTAAGATCTATATGAGCAAAACATCGAGCTTTTCTATAAAGGTAGGGTGCAGATTCTATTACAAATTCAATCACATATTTGCTATCAGCAATTAACAGCACATGCTGAAATAATAATAATAATATTCTGATGTTGACATTATTATTAATATAGAAACATCGACACAGAAACAGAATAAAAAACATCATTATTTCTGGTTTGCTTTTTAACAACGAAAAATGATTTTATTACGTTGCTGTTATTTGGTGTTTGAAAATAGAAAATATTATTTCTACTTGATGAACATTATTTTTGTTATAAATATAAAACAAGAGATTTCTATGTATAGTTATAGTAAGTTTCTCAAAAGATCTCTAACATATCCAAAAAAAAAAAAGTAAAAGCTACAAACATATCTTCAGACTAATAAAGAAATACTATCACATACTACTTAAAAGATGGATTTAGTTTAATGAGAGATATCTTTTCTTTAACTTTTCAATTGATGTCTTAAATATGGAAATTGCCACACATTCAATGAAAATCATTCAGAAAATAATTAACGGCTTCGAATACAATTTAAAAAAAAGAAAATCTTTTATCTATCAATTAACATTCCATTATTCGTTGTAACAATTTGCATTGTTGTTAATTGTTGATCAGCTTTTATTAAATCCATATATTTTTTGAAGCGTCTTCCACGTTGTTTCGTCCATAATTTCCAATCATTCATAGCAAATATTTGTATGACATTTTGTATTGCACTTGATAATGTAAATACAACTGTAAATAATGATGTATCGTTTGATATAAACGAATGTGTATCAAATAAATTATTTTGCTGTTCTTTGTTTAATAATGAACAATGTATAACTGGATATTGTGAATTTGATGATAATAACATAGCAAGACCATTGTTTATATTTCCAAGTGTAACAAAAACAGTTGGTCGACAATGTTCATATGAATAATTAGATAAAAATTTTAATATTGTTTGTGTAGATTTAAATATTGACAAAAGGCGAATATCACATTGAATATTATATATTTCATAGAGAGTTGTTTTTATTTTTTGTCCGTATTCGATATCATATAATGATGAACAAACAATAATACAACGATTTGTTATTGTTGGTGAAAATGAGTTTGAATAGATATTTAAAGATAAAGTATTGTTATCTGTATCAACAAGATCATGTTCAGAAATAATATTCGGGTTTTCTTGTTCATCATTTTGATAATTTGAAAGTATTTTCGTTGTTAACGATTTATTGGCACTTAAATCAAGTATATCTCTTAATGCATTACTTATCCAAAAGAGATTGTCTTGAATTGAATCATTTCCACTCGAAGTCACAGTTTCAATTGGTCGTAATATATGCCATGTTTCAACATCATATATATTTGCAACAACAATTTCTTTCGTTGTTGTAGTAGTTATACCAAATTCAATTTTTAAGTCAAGTAATTGACAATTCTTTTCAACCATCCATACATGTTCGAGTATATCAAATACAGCACAACATATTTCGTACATATATTCAATATCGGATTTTGAAATTTTGAAATTTTCAATAACGATATTTGTATTAAGAAGTTGTTCATAAGACCATAGTGATGACATACATTCATCTAAATCTGAATCATCATCATCATGTAATTGATTTTCATGATCTGATTCAAGATTTTCATCAAGATTTCCTAATGTTGCTCGTCTATAAACAATTGGATGACGTTTATAATAAATTTCAATAATTGGTGGAATAAAACGATGTCCATTCATAATTTCAGGATTACGTTTAACGTATTTTTCATTAGCTATACGACGAATAATCCATAATATTGGTATCATTGTACATTTTTTTGCAATAAATATATCTGGTTGACTATGTGAAGCAACATAAAATGTTGGTATGGATGCTTCACGTAAGATTTCATAAACACAAGTTGTTATAGATGTTGTTAATATACCTTTATTTGTAATTTCACTATTAAAATTTGAAGCATTATTACGATTTTGTTGTTGATTATTTGAACGATATAAACTATCAAAACTTGATCGACGACTACCAGGAATATTTACTATTGAATCTGATGAATCATAATAATCTTTACGATGAATACAAATAAGATTAGGTTGATCAATTACGGAGTAAATTGCTTTAGATTTTCCTTCATATAATTTTTGACCAAGTATGTCGTGTAAAGAAGATAAAGTCATTTGATGTGCTATTTTATTTATCTAACAGTTAACATCTTTATTTTATATTGTCAAGCCTTTGTTGCTAACCTTCAATGAGAACTCTATTGTTTAGTTGTACTATGATGATAATAAAATACACAGTTATTGAATACGTATAGATAAAAGAACTTTGCCTTTCTGCTTCCTTATCGTCCTTCGTTTTGGTGATAGTCAATCCTTATTGGATCGTCGGTTAATTGATTTGTCTGTCTGTGGCCTCGTTGTTTGTACAAAAAAACTAATAGACCAGATGTAAAGATGAAAGGTCAGGAAAAAAAAGTTCACTTGAGTAGCACTTATTTAAGGCCCCCCCCCCCTCAGAAATTTCATTTTTTGGTAAAATAATCGAAGTCTAGTTTTTATCATAGGAAGATGCAGCAAAGTTTCCTCTTTCAGAATATATATAAATTTTTAAAAAAAGCCCAAATTTTGACAGACTTTCTTAGGAGATTTCAACCTCACTACCCGGTTTTCGGAGAGATTTTCGCGGTTTTTCTGATTTTTGGGAAGGGTACTTTTTTACTTCTATCAGCATGAAATCAACATTCTTATATCATATAGTACGACCTGTAGTGCTAGCTTACGCCATCTATTGCGTGCTTTCAAAAATTCCACATAAATATTATCATTATCCCATTATTTCCTGCATTTGAATGAAAAATCCATTTCTAAAACTTCTTTAGAGNAACTCTTTATTTGATACAATTCTTAATACTAGCTTTCTTGGTGTATCTGGTCCAATACAATTTAGTGTCAATGTAACAGATCGGATGAATGGTAGTTATTATTTGATACAAAATGTTCAACCTTCTTCGAATGGTGTAGTCTATGTACCAATATTGAAATGGTCTGATTCTAGCAATTGGACACAATATGCATTATCAAATGTTATTGTGTGGCCTGGTAATTCATTAATACCACCTACCGGTCATGCATTGATTTCAAGTGTTAGCTTACGAATCGGTGTTATTGAATCATCTCCATTCACAATAATCAGTTATATAACAGATGAAAAAGGACAAACCACAACAAAGTTAATTGGCTATATACCGGATCTTATTGATCTTTTACAAACAAGAATGGGTTTTACTCCTCAAATTATATTAGCATCCTCAAATCAAACCTATGATGGATTAATCGATTCAGTTGCAAATGGCTTGTATGATTTGGTGATAGGTGATGTCACAGTTACGGCTAAACGAAGAAAAATTGTCTCTTTTTCGAATTCAATATTTGATAATTCTTTACGCATCATTGTTCGAAAAACATCTCCTGTTAGTGTAGATCTTGCATCATATTTGAAGCCATTCTCATTGAGACTCTGGATAGTTCTCTTGCTATCTGTTATCTATGCTTCTGTTTTAGTGTATCTACTAGAACGACAAGATAACGAATCATTACAAGATAGGTCAATCATTTCATCACTTGCAATGAGTATATGGTACTCTATTGGTAATGTTATGGGATATGGTGCTGATATGCAACCTTCGACAGCAGCTGGACGATTATTAACTGTTGGTCTATATGTTTTAAGTGTAGTATTAGTAGCAACATATACTGCGAATTTAGCAGCTAATCTAACTGTATCTAAATCTACGAATATTATTTCTGGAATTGATGATATCAAAAACGGCAAGCTACTATTTAGTCGCATAGGTGTTCGTATAGGTACAGCTGGTGAAGATTACTATTTACAAGAAATTTCTCGACAGGAGCGAAATTTTCATCCATTGGCATCTAGGCAAGAGTTATATGACAGTCTACTCAATGGTGTCATTGATGCATCTTTCATGGATATCGGTGTTGCAGAATATATAACCAATAATGTATATTGTAATTTGACTTTGGTTGGAGCAGATTTTGATAAGAGTATATTTGGTATAGTTTTTCGTAAAAACTGGTTATATGAGCAAGATTTAGATGTAAATATATTATCATTAAGAGAATCAGGTGTTTTGGATGAGTTAAAGATGAAGTGGTTTCAAACAAATAATTGTCCTGATTCATCCAATGCATCGACTGTTACTTCTATGAGCATTGAAGCAATGGCTGGATTGTTTGTTACATTTGCAGTTATTAGTATTCTGTCATTATTATTATTTGCATGGACGAGAAGGCTTCTCATAAAAGATATTCTATTTAAATTAATGCATCGAAAGGTTCCTTTAGTGAAACAAAATGTTTCAAATAGAAGAAATTCAAGTAAAACTCGTAAAGTTTCACGAATTTCGCAATGATCCTCATTCGACGTAATACATTTCTGACTACGATAATATCTTTATTTTCAAGAATGCACTTTAAATTTTCATAAACTTCAATTCATGATTAACCAATATGAGTTTTCTATAATGATCGTTATAGATTTCGCGCATTGATGTCACATTCTTTTTTTCTATCGAATACGAAGTGAATTGACTTCGAATCAAATTTTTTGGTTTCACTTATTTGGGTAACGTGACCATTAATGAGTGTTGAAAGTATAGAAAAAAATGCATACTCATTATATTGTCGAACTGATAGCGATCGTTTAGAAATAACTCGACCTTTGTATAGATTTTTCATGCTTATATAGTTCATCTTATATTATATAGCAAAAACAATACGTTCACATAATTTGCACTTATATTTTTATATTTAATGATCAACTTTCCATGTCACATTGATTTAGTCTTAGAGGTCTTCATAGAATAATTACCATATATTTTTAAGAGTATATTCTTCACCATTTGAACTCAATTCATTCAGGGATGGATCAAATAAAGACAGAAGCTTGTTGATATTTCTGTTGGTCTTCAATAAACAAGGATACCGAGGATACGACTTGTCAATGTCGGAACTATGAAAACAGTGATGAAGTCACATAATGCTTCGCTATTGTAAATGGACGTTCCTGATCGGTCCTGAAAACGAATTCACGTCGACTTCATGTTAAATTTCATGTGCCATTATTTTCTTGATTCATACTGGGCATGTGACAACTCCAGCTTGGTTCGTAGAGCTGGAGCTGACCGATCAGCTCAAGTTCACATGAGCTGGAGCTTGTCACAGTATCAGCTCACATGTGCTGGAGCTGGTACCAGTTACAGCTCACGTCAGCTGGTTCGGGGTAGCTAGGAGTGGCCCTAATAGCTTTTCAAGGGGTATCTATGGGGTTACTCACAAGCTCTGAAGATCTATTCTATAGAAGGAACCATATATTCTCAAGGCCTATCCTAGGGAATCCCTATAACTTCTCCAGGACTATCCCATAGAGAAATGCATAAGTCCTCAAGGATTATCCTAGGGAGTATCCGAAACTCTTCAAGAGCTATTCTAGTGGGATGTCCCTAAGTTTCCAAGCGCTGTCTTAGCAGGTACCCCTAAGTCTTCAAGCGCTATCATAGAGGGATAATCATAACTCTTCAAACACTATCATAGGGGAACACTTCTAACTCTTCAACTGCTATCCTAGCAGGTACATTTAACTCTCCATAGGCTATCCTAGGGGCTACCCCCATCTCTTGAGAGGCTATTCTATTGGAGGGGGAGGAGGTGAGTACTCATAACTCTGCAACGGCTAGCATATGGGAGTATCTGTAACTCTTCAATGGCTATTCTAGGGTATATCCTTAGTTCTTCAAGCTCTATCCTAGGGAATACTCCCCATTCGTCAAGGGCCGTTCCACGGGAAAGGCTCATATAACTTTTCGAGGGTTATCCAATGGGGTACCCATAAGCTCTCAAAGACTTGTCAATCGTGGTATGCATGAGTCTTAAAGGGCTATTCAATAGGGGCGCCCATGAGTCCTCAAGGGCTATTCAGTGGGGAAATCCAAAAATCTTTAAAGACTATCCTTTGGGATACCCATAAGTCTTCAAGAGCTTTTTTAGGGCTACCTAGGGATGGTTCCCAAAGTTTTTATAGATAGGCATATCAGAATATCGATACAGTATCGAGGTATTGTGTTTGAATGGTATTGGTATTGACGTGAATGGTCGGGTGGATGTGTGGGTGTGGCTGCGGCTGTTACAGAATAGAATAACACCACACCCACATCCACACCTTTGCTGAAATCTGCTTCATTCAACAGATACCATGGGCAGACCGGCTAATCTACTATAAAAGCCTCTTACCAAACCTTACTAATGATAGTGGCCTTGAAAAAATTCCTTTCTACAGTCAAAGTATCGAACTCAACGGTGCTTACTTTAGGTTAATCACTTAATCAATCATTTTTCTGTGAAGCCTTAAACAGAAACATTTGAACCTAGTTCCAGCTATCAAAAGATTTCTTAACACATGATACCAATCAACTAAATATTGGCTTGTGATGTTGTTTTGCATATACTAACAGAAAAGTGAAGCCATTGCAGATTCCTTTCAATGAGATCGCGCTACAATTTCGATCCCGCTCGAATGACATGCCTAGTTCGCCCTAAGGAAGTTATAAAACTCACACCCAGGTAGCCTCAGAAAAAGTTTTCGGTACAGACCTAAGATATCCCTAGAAAAGTCCTGGGACCACCTCAACGCAGCCCTATGAAAGCTTTAGGCACTTCTCCTAAATAGCTCATAAGGACCTATGAGTCCTTTGCCAAGGTAGCACTTGAAGACTTACAGATATTACACCTAAATACTCAGTTAGGATTGGTGGATACCCCTACAGGCTAGCCTTTGAGGCTTGTAGCATACCCTCGAATACTTCTTGAGGACTTATAAGTATCTCTAAGGATAGCCTTTGACGACTTTTAGATATCAACTAGCATTGATCTTGAGGACTTCTGGATATTCCAGGGTAGTCCTCGTGGACTCATGGATACCCCTATGAAATAGTTCTTGAGGACTTGTGGGTCTCCTTATGATAGGCCTTGAGAATATGTAGCTTCGCTATAGGATAGCGCTTGAAGATCTATGGATACCCTCCATAAATACCTCTTAAAAAATTAAAAGGACTACCCCTATCCTGCTCTCGCGAGCTATGGAGCTGGAGCTGCCACGCACCTACTAGTAATGCAGACTACTCTTCAAAAGAATGGTGCACAGTTGTGACTTTGAACATCGACAACAAATCGTCTAAAATTCATTACAGAATCCAAAACCGACTGAATCCCTATGAAGTAAGAAAAAGAAAGAAGATAAGAAAATATTATAATCTCCTTGTTATATCACAAAATGATTGTTGATTTTTTTTTCGAGATTCATAAAGTTAAGCTTGAATATTAAAATGTAATTTAATTACGTAGTTATCTCTGATTTAAAATCAAGGAAAACGGAAACATCTCTAGAGAAGATCGCTAGTTTTTTCTCAAAGTAAACATAGTCATTTATATTTGATAATTATATTGAGTAAAAGTAACTTGTATAAAATAAAGCGATGTTCAATGATCCTGTCCATTAATTCCTTGATTCAAACTATTAAGCTTAACAAGTAGAAGAAAAGTGGGATGTAATCAAAAAAAGGACTGTGTAGTTTGATGACATGGATTGAAGAGTTTTTGTGCTACTGACACAGCACTAAATGCGTCTCTGTTATGTGTACTGCGTTGAAAATCATTCGACAGCATTACAATGCAATCATTCGGTATTTATTACTCAACTATATTTATTCCGAGAAAGTCAAATGGATTGAGACTCGTCTTTAGGTTAATTTTACAGCTTGAAGGTTTGCGAAGAAGATCTTTTGCTGGTCATGAATTGGTTTTCTCTGTAGAGCAATCAGAGATACTTAATGCAGAGCTTGATACAACGAGCAAAGCAAAAGTAAAGATGCGCTCGCGAACTGTTCATGGTAACAGATGACAGGAGCTGATAGAAGTTTCTGAGATTGACTCGTTGTCAGAGATGGAACGATAGTTTCGTGCATATCAAACACGTATCGCCAAATAGACAGACGTTCATTGTGTCAGACGTCTATAGACACCAATGATGAACAATAGACCATCGTCCATTTTAATGTTACTAGTGACTCTAACCAAATTCCGTATATGCATCTTTCCAACTACAGCATAGACGAGTTCATCATTCTTTATGACCCAAGTTTAGTCAAAGCCATACCGTACTGTACTGAGAGCTTGAACTGGATGAAAAATGTCTTTATTAGGCTTTCCCGGTTTCTTTGTCTGTAACTTCGACATTCTTCTACTCATAAATGATATACCTTGTTGGTATCTCAGTCAATTTATACAAGCAAAGCTTGAAACATAATCTGATTTTTACAGTGAACAAAGTATCAAATTTATACAAGAAATTTTGTGATAAAGAGGTGAAATACACGAAATAAAAATGTTTAGGTTTCCAAAGTTTGACATTTCAGTAGGACAACAAAGATGAATTTTTTCATTTATACGTATACTTCTTTATAATGTGGAAATTAAATTCTTATATCAGGTTTCAATTTTCTTTTTATGAGAGTACAAAAAGGCAAAAACGAAGCTGTTATGCCCAAATATTTCTTTATCATAGATTTGTAACATTCAAAATTGATCTTATTGATGCATCTTCTTTATTTATTCTTGCAAATCAATACTTGTTTAAATTAGAGTACAAAACATCGATGCTGATGTTGAAGGCTTGAAGCTATCATTGGGTACAATTGGTATGTATTTTTCGATTGCATCAAGAAAGCGTATGTAAGTATCGACAGTCAGGAGTTTTTCTGGATTGTCAGCTGCTACTTCAGCTTTAAAAGTTTGAAACATCAGATCCCAATGTGCTTTACATCTTTTATAGGTTTCATGAAGAAGACGTCCATTCATATTTCCCAGTACTGGCAGAAGACTTTCGAGTTTTTCGTTGATAAGAAATGATCGAACATGAGTTGTTGTCCATTGATTAATACAATGTGGATACTCCCTAAAAATATAATTCTTTTCCTATCTCATAATATATTTAAATCATCAGACCGGCTCAACCATGACTACAAGAAAAACGCTGAATGCTTCAAAAATATAAACGTTTATCCATATGTCAATTTTTCTCTGACTTGTTTCCGGAGGAATTAGTTTTAAAACTTCTCCAATGAATTATTATGTCTAAAAGTGTCTTGTATTTTCTAATCTATCCGAAACTCTTCCTGAATGATATGCGTTCGAATCGATCAGAAAGTTTTCACATGATTAATATTTACTAATAACTCACTCGACTGATAGATTTTGCTCATCCGACTTGACAGATAAATTTATTGTTTTTGGTGCCAAGCCGTGTCGAAGCGACTTCTTTGTTGAAGTTGATTGGGTTTGATTTGTTCGATACCGAATAATCTCATTTTTCAGCTTTTCATAGGCAACATCGAATCCAAGTTTAGGAAAATCGATATAGATCTTTCCACTGGCGATAATTCCCAACCAACCATCTGGTCGATAGCCTGACTTCATCACTAAGGGAACCAAATAACATTGACGCTCAAAAGCATAATGAGCTTCGGATTGGCAATATGCACTCTGTTTGTATGCTTCTGACATGCATAAAAATACAAAGTCTGAATTTTCAATAGCAGTGGCCATGGCGACCATCGTTTGTCCATGCATTTGATCCCGATCAATCCACACTCGAAAGTTATCTTTAACTAGACAATCATGAATACGATAACACAAATCTTTGTCACTATGCGAATAGCTTAACATAATATCATATTTCTCCAAAGTAATATCGGATATTGTCGATGTTTCATGTGATTTGGCAATGGTTGTTTCTTCTTTTTCCAATTTCCACAGGAGATTTCCAGCTACTCTCTGCAAATGTCGATTAGTGGACGAAGTAACCAACATTTTCAAGTTTGAAATGAACTGAGAATTGTCTTTGAGTTGACCTGCAGCATCATCGTTGAATGTTAGAGCAAGAAGAATTTCTAATGATGATAATCGAACTTTGATAGGATCAAATTTCGACTCTGTTACACAACGAAGGAGAAGAGGTAACACCCCTTGTTTTGTCAATTCTTCTTTTATTTGATCATGCTGGACCAAGACTAAAAAAGATGACGAATTGATTTTCTGCAACCGAACTGTTTTCTGTAAGCATCGCTGTCAGAAGAGTATGTGAAATAGAATGTCACATACAAAGGAAAATAACGAGGTATTTACGAATGTCAGGATAAATTTATGAAAGATTTCTCTTTATTTCTTTTTAAATTTGCAGCGTCTTTTATCATCATCTTTGCCTTTATATGAAAGATATTATCTAGTCGCATTTGAAAGAACCATGAGTATTGAAATTTTGACTCTGTGATAAGCTTATGTTAATATGATTTAGTTTTGTATTAGTTTCAAATAATCGACTGATGAAGTTTTGTTCGAAATCTGCCTATTTAAAATTTTCATTTTGTTCTATTGCTTTTGGCGCAACAAATCAAAATTCAACTTACTCTTGAGACTGCGGAGTAAATTATGAAATCGTGGTATCATGCTGGAATCATCAATCAGATTAATAAGAAATCCGAGAAAGACATTGGCAATTTTAGTCGAATTCGTCAATGTTTTCAAATCTTCTTCAGTCATAATTGAAGCCAATACACGATAAATATGAAATTGTATTGTTTCATCTTCAATATTAGTTATTTTTAACAACAATGGAATCATGTGTTTAGTTTTAATATACGTTCGTAAATCATTTGTCATCGTCAAAGAATATAAATTTTGAGCCAGAACTCTTATAAAAACTTTTGTTATTTCATCAATTGTTTCACAGTTTATGATTGTATTCAATATAGAAGATATTTGATCGATCATTTTGCAATAATCTTCTCGAATTGGTTGAGAAAAGATTTCTTCATCACTAGCATTTCCTCCGATTAATGTAATACAAAGTTGACCAATAACTTTAATTGCCACTTTACTCAATTTATGAAAAGACAATAGCTGATTCTGAAACCAACAAGTAAAAGTATTTAATAGAGTAGTTCGAACAGCTACACAAGTGTCATTATAACGACCAGCATCATGCCAAGAAATGTAATTCGTACAAGTATCGAGCAAAAATGTTTGCCCTTCGTTAAGTTTTTCAAGTTCAGTTATGTGTTTAAACATGGACACGAAGTAACTTGAACATACACAGTTAACAATACTATCGAGTAGCTCAGATAACATAGTTATTTTCTGAATATCTGTTCGACCTTTCTCAAGATAATGAATGGCTCGAATAGTATAATCAATTGCTTCTATTTGTTGATCCTGCAAATGTTTACCATTTGTAGCTATGTCCTTGAGACATGCACGAATTTCATTGATGAAAGATGCATGAGTTAAGAGCTTTTTCAATTGATCAACTTCAGTATCCACAGCCTGGAAGCACAGTTCGGCAAATAGAATAGCGATTTGAGTGAAAACTTGGCCTGACATTGAGTCGAGTACTGCACCAGTTCGCCAACGACACAGAATATCCAGATAATAATCACGAATAAGCAAAAAGAGCTGATGATCGAGAAGTTTCGCTTCGCAGAATGTTCGATCATTTTTCAATCGAATTGAAACTGATGAGACAATCTGTTGTATTGTTGCGACATTATTCTTCACTTTGTCTTGTTTCAATTCGATAACGATGTTGTCTAAACAAGTTTTTAATTGATCGTTAATCGAAGATGTTTCTTGATCTTTAATGAGTGCACATTGTTGTTCAATAACAGTAGGTACTTCCATTAACATAGAATAAACGATGATTTCAATCACTGAGAGAAGGACTCTTTTCACGATGAGGGTGCAAAGTATTATTACTGACGTTCGAAGAACGAAAGAGTGAGAGGAAATCAATTACTTCTATTCGCACGTGCTCAATTCTTTTGTAGTATGAAAACGACATCGTTGCTCTATTTATAAAATGAATGGTAAACATTGCATTACCATTGTTGTGGCTACCAGCAGAATGCGATGCGTATGAGCACACATTTCATGATGAAGTGTGACAACATGTAGAGAAAGCTCGGCTTGTTCAAATATAACAGCGTTACGTTTTTGATACACTCTTTTTCAATTATCTCGCAAAATTTGAGAGCTAGAAGATTCATTCAAATGCCATTCGATGCAGTTTATCACACTCTATTTATCCTATTAAAATAAATTCTTTTAATTGAAGTCTTGAGATTCTAGGAAAACTTTATGATCGCGTCATGCTGCTACATAAAAAGACTGTTCTTTTCAGTACTGCTGATAAAACTCGAATATCTTGCGAAAGTGTTGCTCTAAATCAAATGCTTCTACAGTTACTTTTGTAGAGCATCAAATGAGCTTCTAAAAATAAAGAGATTTTCTTTAAACTATTTCTGCTCAGATCAAAATAAAATGCAAAAACCAAATGTAACGCTCTTATATAGTTTTTGTCGATCAATTTTGGAGCATTCGACGTGCTCAGAAATATTTAACTTTCATCAATATTGCTCTTTCGTGTATATTTAATCGTTCTACCCAAGAATCAAGTTGCTACACCAAAACGGAAGTTCATTAACTCTACACCAAGTTGTAAACTGTACAAGCATATATAAGTTGTTCTTAGCAATGAAACTCAGCAATAAATAGACCATTTTTTACAGAAGTAAATTCTGCATTGGATTGTATGTCACACAGCATTTTGTGAAAAATGTCCTGATTATTAAAATTCAAAATCTTATTTTCGATGCTAAAACCTAATTGTTTGAAAGAACAAATGTCAAGTTCGTAATTAGCGTGAAAATTGGCACCCAATAATGCATTTAGATCTATTATACTCCAGAAAAAAAAACAATTTTCAAAAGCTTGATCAGCGAAGTGTCTCATTAAGTGAGCAAGACAGCAGCTAATCATTGAACCTTTTATAGGTCTCTCAGAGGAAACATGCATTTGAATTCAAATCAGATCTGATTGTTTGGTGAACGATATATTCGTGGTTTTGAGTTTTAGTTTCGTTTTCGATTATTTCATTATTATTGATTTGCTTTCTATATTCATGATTGGAACTAGAAGTGTAACAATACCAATACGGCATTGAGATATTGGTATCGGCAATACTAATGCCAACAAATTTTGTGTAAAAAGTTTTTATATAACATATCTAATCAATTTTTGTCTACTTATAAATCACTAGAGAGACTCAAAAGTAATCAACTAGAATCAAAATTTCTATTCTGGCTTAAAGCTAGTTCATTAGGAACAAACTTTTGACAGAATCCCAATCACACGATCTGTACATAATTTTTCGTGCACTTCAGTTTTGTATTTTGATAAAAAATTATCTCAATTCAAACTATAAGAAAGTATTTTTATGCATTAAGTTGTAGAGCTAAGCTTGCTCTACAAAATACTAAATTTGTTTCACTCTTTAGATATATGCTACAAAAGATCAAAATCTATTAGACTCTAAATGTCCCAATTCGAGAAAAGAAGTAATTTTTTTAAAAAATATTGTCTTACGTAAAAAGTAACTGTTCGAAACGTGGATATAGACTTTAATTTTCGTAAGTCCTAGTTACTGTAATGTATTATTTACTAGAAAATAAGAATCTATACAACATTAGAAAGTCAAAAATACCGTAAGTCTCATTGAAAGAAGTGATGAGTAACAGAAGAAAGCCTCTTTTGTTTAATGCAAATAACATTTTTGATTTAGTTAAATATTTACTCATAGCTAAGCAACCGTAAGACAGCCACAATTCCTGAGCATAAATCTAAAAAAGAGCATCAGCTTCTGGTTCTAACTAACTTATTTTGAGTTTCTAAAATGATATCTCGATCTCCGAACAATGAACAAATGTATTTACCACTACGTTATAAATCTGCATTTTGTATGCACGTCGGTTTTGATCGCCATCAGATATTTGCTTTCCATGAACAAAATTTCCGCTAGAAAAAAAGTCTTAACATATACATTAAAACTTTCCATAGTAGACACTTTCGTATAGCGGACACTTCACGATTCCACAAAAAGTTTTTTGCTGAACCCGAACCTCTCTATACTGGACATCGTCATATATTTCTATAATAGACACTTTTGAAAAGTCTGGAGTTTGTCCAATATAGAGAGGTTATACTGCAGTTAGAGCAAGTAGGAAAGTGTACGTTTAGAATCTCCAGCACCTTCGACACCTTTTGATATTGATAGCGCTGTAGTATTCGTACAAATTTGGAATTAGACTGAAATTTAAGATGATAATAATTAGTAAGAGTCATATAATTTCAACTCGATTTTTTCAATCAAGACAAGGCTATTTTCCGAAAAGAACGTTTTTTTTTCTGTAAAACTTGGCTAAAGGTATTCGAGATCGAAGAATCTAAATCTTTAATCAGTTTTCCGAAATTTTCGAGTTCGATTTTTCTTGTTAGTTGAAGCCTATTTCTTGTGGTTTACTCACGTTTCATAATATTCAGCTATTTATTTGAAGTTTCCTTCGATCAGAAAAATCAAACTCAAGAATTTCGAATAACCGAGTAGACATTCGGATTCCTTGACTTTGGAGTGCTCAAGTTAAATTTTATTTAAAAAAATCGTTATTTTCGAAAAGCCTTATCTTCAATGAAACAAATTCAATCGAAATAGTATGATTTTCACTTATTGTTATCATCTTAAATTCTATTCTAATGTCAAATATGTATGAGCACCACAGCATCTTATTGTTAATTTAGACGTTCGAACACTGTACTTACCCCTTGAGTTATGAAGAAAATAAAATTCTGATTCTAGCGGATTACCTTTGATTTGCTTCAGTAATTTATAAGTAGACAAAAATCAATCAGACATGTTGTGCAAAGATTCTATACATGTAGGTTACCGACTAATGCGAAATGGTATTGATATTATTACATTCCTAATTGGAACTATCTTATATATGACCTGGCAATGTTTCTCATGTAGTTGCTCTATTCACTTTATTTTATATGATGTACTTCTATCTGTTCACTTGCCAACCATGAGATCCAGTATAAATAAAGCATATTAAAACAAATTCTTTTTTGTTTCATGTTTGATGTTCAAGCGTTTTTTATTCTTTTAATTCTCTTCCTCATCAATGATGTTAAACACTCAAAAAAAAAAAAACTAATAGAACAGAACAGAACAAAAAAAGAAAGACAACAAAATAGTTTTTTTTTTTTAATCAACTTCTTCCATTCGTGAGGCGTCAGCCGAAACAGCAGCCGAATTATCTCCACCGGCTTCAAGTGGGGGCATATCTGCACTTGAATCACCAGTAGCTATGTGACTTTCTTCAGTTGCATCTTCTTCATCAATACCTAAACCAAGCTTAATCATACGAAATATACGATCAGCATGTTGTTGTGGTAATTCAAGAGTAAAACCACTAGCCAAAAGTGATGTTTCATATAATAAAGTAACTAAATCTTTAACTGATTTATCATTTTTATCTTGATCAACTTTAGCTTTAAGTGTTTTTATAATTGAATGATCAGGATTAACTTCAAGATGTTTTTTAGCAGCCATATAACCCATTGTGGATGTATCACGTAAAGCTTGAGCTTTCATAATACGTTCCATGGTAGCTGACCAACCATATTGTGATGTAACTAGAAATAAAAGAAAAACATTAATAAAGAAAAAAACGAACTTGTTTTTTCTTCAGAACTTACCAATACAACATGGTGATGAAACAAGTCGATTACTGACAACAACTTTTTCAACTTTTTTGTCTAAAATATCTTTCATTACTTTGCATAATGTTTCATATTTTTCTTTATCTTGTTCACGTCTAGAAAACAAAAGAAAACAATTTTTTTTGTTATGTAAAACAATAGAAATTTAATTTTTTTTGCGTACTTCTTCTTGTCATCTTCATCTTCAGGTAATTCTAAACCTTCTTTTGTAACTGAAACAAGTTTTTTGCCATCAAATTCTTTTAATTGTTGTACACAATATTCATCAATTGGTTCTGTCATATAAATAATTTCAATACCACGTTTGCGTACACGTTCAACAAATGCCGATTGATCAACAATTTGTCGAGATTCACCAGTTATATAATAAATATCTTTTTGATTTTCTTTCATTCGTGATACATAATCTTTTAATGATGTTACTTCATCACCTGATGTTGATGAATGATAACGTAAGAAACCAGCAAGTTTAGCACGATTTGTTGAATCTTCGTGAATACCTATAATACAAAATAGACAATTGATTAGAATGATTAATTTAAAAAAAAATCTTAATACATACCAAGTTTAAGATTACGTGAAAATTGTTCATAAAACTTCTTAAATGATTCTTTATCTTCAGCAATTTCTTCCATTAATTCTACACATTTTTTAACTAAATTCTTTCGAATAACTTTAAGAATTTTATTTTGTTGTAACATTTCACGTGAAATATTCAATGGTAAATCTTCAGAATCAACAACACCTTTAATAAAATTTAAATATTCTGGCATTAAATCTTCGCAATTTTCCATAATAAATACACGACGAACATATAATTTAATTGAATTTTTCGTTTTACGATTTTCAAATAAATCAAATGGTGCACGTTTTGGTATAAATAATAAAGCACGAAATTCAAGTTGACCTTCAACACTAAAATGTTTAACAGCCAAATGATCTTCCCAATCATTTGTTAATTGTTTATAAAATTCAGCATATTCTTCAGTTGATATATCTTCTGGATTTCGTGTCCATATTGGTTTTTGTTTATTAAGTTCTTCTTCATCGGTGTATTTTTCTTTGATTTTTTTCTTTCTATAAAGCAAATTTTATATTGAAAAGAATTTTTATTTAAATCATAACTTACTTCTTTTTATCAGTATCCTTTTTCTTGTCATCATCCTCATCATCATCGATTTCTTCAACTTTCTAGAAAAAAAAAAGAAGTTATTAGGACAATCCGTACAAGACCAAAATGCGAAACACAATATAGCTGCTCTTGATAATCATAGAAAGACTGTTTTAGTCTAACTATTTTAGGACATATTTCTTTACTATTCTTCTCTAGAAATATAATCAGAAAGTAGTTCATATATTTATTAGAACAAGATGTTATTTGATTGCACATCAACAACGTCTGTTTTAGCCTCTTCCTAGTACCTATCTGTCACGGTCTGTCAGAGAGTTCAAATTTTTATTTCTTGTACTTCAAGATTCATTTTCGATTGTGTTTCACAAAAGATTAAAAGTAATTTTTTTTTCATAACTTACTGTTTCATCTTTTTTGCTTTCATCTTCAGGTTTTTTTTCGGTGTCTTTTTTCTTTTCGTCTTCATCTTCATCATCGGATATTTCTTTTTCACGTTCTTTTTGTACAACTAATTTAATTGGATAACCAATAAATTGTGAATGTTTTTTAATAACTTCTTTAACACGTTTTTCTTCAAGATATTCAGTTTGATCTTCTTTAAGATACATAACAATTTTTGTACCACGACCAAGTGGTTCACCTGATGTATCACGGTGAATTGTAAATGAACCACCAGCACTTGATTCCCATATATATTGTTCATCATCATTGTGTTTTGATGTAACAGTTACACGATCAGCAACTAAATAACATGAATAAAAGCCAACACCAAATTGACCGATCATGCTAATATCTGCACCAGCTTGAAGTGCTTCCATAAAAGCACGAGTACCTGATCGAGCAATTGTACCCAAGTTATTAACAAGATCAGCCTAGAAAAATAATTATTTCCATTTGATTTCTGAAAACAGGTTGTGGGTATTTTTAAACTTACTTTTGTCATACCAATACCAGTATCGATGATAGTTAATGTATTACTGGCTTTATCTGGTATAAGTTTAATATATAATTCTTTTCCGGTATCAAGTTTTGTTGTATCAGTAAGTGATTCATAACGAATTTTATCCAATGCATCAGATGCATTTGAAATAATTTCACGTAAGAAAATTTCTTTATTTGAATAAAATGTATTAATAATCAATGACATCAATTGTGCAATTTCAGCTTGAAAAGCGAAAGTTTCAACATCGCCAGTTTCTTGTTCCATCTTTTCTGACATGTTTGGTTAATTTCGATGATATCGACGAATAAAGAAGTGAACACAAGTAAATAACGAGTGCGTTGACGAGAAAGAAATGCAAGTTCAACACAAATGCACTCCGATTTATATACATAAGATAGAAGAAGCGAGTAGAACAGTCGAGAAGGAACGAGAAGTCAAGGAAGGACAAAAAGAAAACAGCTTATTTTTCTTTTTTTTCTTTCTTTCTTTCTTTCTATCATGGCTACCATGCTGTTTCTTCGCCTAGGCCACTAAATTACTATGGAGAAAGTGAATGATGCAATACAGTATTATTTGTTAGATAGACTAAACTAGAACTGCCTGGATATCTTTCTAAAGAAGAATAACAATTGCGCATTTTGATTTTCTTAAAACAAAATCGTCTTTGAAGAATTCAGTGTTAATTAATATTTTTTATACGACATTGAAACATGATAACCTTGGCAATGAAAAAATATGCTTCGTCTAATTTGCATGAAGGAAGAAGGAGAATAATGTTTCATGACAAAATAATGAATCATGCATTTCTCGTTGTATGTGTAAGTGGGAAAAAAAGACGATGCATTATCATTTAGTTACGATATGTAATTAATAAGTTGGTTTTTTACACTTATTTCAATGTCGATTGTAGAAATTAGTAGTCTGCATTTTTTTCATGTCAAGTCATTAATAATATCGTGACAGAAGTTTGTATTACAGAAAAGGAAATCAGTTATTTATCTATTGCGTATTATTTATGACGAATAGTTGTCATATATTATTTGATTGCATACTGATTAAACTTCTCAATATGTCATGATTAATAAATGCCTCTTTTTAGACGTTCAAATAAGACGTTTTTATCATAATACAAAAAAAAAACATAAAGTTGCAAAAAAAATAATACCGTAAAATAAAATACATATGTCTTTCGAATAGGTTACTTTTCTTCTAAGTTGATTTTTAAGTTTTATTTATGATATTATAATGGCAAAGCTGTATAAGTCAAGAAATATTAGAATAAAAATAGAACTTTAAAAAGACATTTATACTAATATCATTATACGAAATGCTTCGAAAGTCTACGGGAGAATAAAACTTGAATAATTCTTCAACACTTCAATCGATTCCATACTCATCATCAAAGTTTTATTCAACATACTTCAGAAAAAATAATTATACTTATGAATATTAGAATACAAATTGTTCGATCAATAGCTAAATTTGAATTATTTACAATCATGAAAGGAAAGCTATCAGTAAAGTTTGGCATAACAACGGTAAATAAAAATTATATTAAATAGTTGTTTCAATACTTTTATCAAAGTGATATTGTGATAAATCGAACATATTCTAAACATTTAACAGTAATGACATAAGAAAAATTCACTGAAGTTCACGTTAGTTGTGAAAGTATATCGGCATAAAATGTTCTGGTTGTTCGCCAAGTTTTTTTTTGACAGCATACTAAATCATGATAGAGTTAAGCAAATGTACATTAATTTTTGAGCAGCATTCTTTCTATTATACGAGACTGAAAACGATGATTCTGTTTGATAAGCTTGATGTTCCTGTCACTTAATACCATTTCGAAGTTTTACCTTCGGGAACGCATGGAAGACAGTTTCTGCTAAAGATCACGTTGAAACTAATAATAAAAATATGTAACGAAAACAAAATGATTTTGTAGAAAACTCAATTCAATATGCTTATTTTGAGCAGTAGACGCAAATGAAATTATGCGAGATAAAATTTTAAAAAAAGACATCTGAAATAAAACAATACAATGCTCATGGATATCGCTGAAATTATTTCCTTTCTTTTTCCAGCCGGCTTTTAGAATATCTTGTATAAAACGAATTTATAAATTTAAAATATATTTGAAAAAAAATATTACTAAACTAAAATAATTCGTATAAAAACTCAATGAGAGAGATAAAATAAAAAATTGCTAAGTAGCTTTAAACTTTTTGTTTTTTGTAAACAAGAAATATGGTTCAATGAAATATGATCAGGCATCTTTAATCATATGATTTAAAATAAAATACAAAAAAAAAATGTTTCTCGTACAAATCTTTTATCATGTTCTCCCAGATTATATTCTAATTAATTCGTTCACTTTGAATTTTTTCAAAAATTTCTCTACAATAAGTTTTTCCCATGTGACTCAAACCGGACACAAACTGCCGGTAGTTCGAACAAACATGTAACATGGAGAAGGGGTCGCGTTCACTTGGTCGACAATCACTTGGCCGACACATCACTTGACCGACCCCATTTCACCGACAAATTGTTTGGCCGACATGTACACTTCGCCGACAACTCATTTGGCCGACAAATATTTGAGGTCAAAAAAATTGAAATTTCTTGAAA